TTTTTTATAATTAAAAAATAAAAAAAATAATAAAAAAAAGGAAAAAAAAGAAAAGAAAGAGAGACAAACAAAAAATCCAAACAGAAGAAACAAAATGGAAAGGGCTGGTGCCAGCAGGTGCCATGCACGGCACCGCTGGCCACCCACGCCCTACCATTACCCCAGCCATCATACCACCCCTTTATCACTTCACTCCATCAGCACATGCTACCACCATTTTCAACCGTATAAAACACTCGATTCTCTCTCATTTTAGAGCTGGCTGAAACTTTCGAAGATCCCCTCACCAGAACACCCAAAAAACATGCACCCCTACCAACAACCTCTCAGACGAAAAAAAATCAAACAACCCCTCAAATATCCAAAACACAGTCCTTCCCCACAGGGAGAAACCCAGCATCGAGTTACCTGCACCAAGAAAGAAGGGTATCGGTTAGTTTTCAAAAAAAAAAAATATCAAAAACTTCAAAACTCGATCTATGAGAATCAAAGTTTTTTCCAGTGAAAGGAACACTAGATCTGAGCTCAAAAGGTTGAATGGAACCTTTTGGTCAGTTTTGAAGTTTTCGACCACTGGCGACCACCGCCGATGGTGGACCAAGCGACGGTCAGTGTGGTGCTCTGACGATCGAACGACGAGAGCGTCGAACCTTTTCCAGAGCTCTCTCTCCTTTTTTTTCCTCAAAAACAGAAAAATAAACTGAAAAAAAAAGGCTGACTTTTATAAAGAAAACATAAAAGCAAAACGACGTCGTTTTGAGCATAGGGCCAAAACGACGTCGTTTCAAGCATAAGAGGATCTGTGCATAGACCGAACCCGACTCGAGATCTGCGTAAATCAACCTGACAACCCACCTCAGTCACCTTTCATTCGGTTCAGATGAACCGTCAGTGAAGCAGTTGAACCGATCCGAACTGCTGGATCGCCCGAACCTTGATTGGACAGTTGAACCGGTCAGACCGATCTAGACCAATGTTGACCGGATTGTTGATCGATCTAGTTCAGGTAAAAAAAATTTTTTAAATTTTTTTAAATTTTTTTTAAATTTATAGATATATTATTATTGTTATTTTAGGTATTTTTATATATTTATGCATGATAAGTTCTTAAATTTGTTAGGATAAATTTTTAATTATTTTAATAATAATAAAAATAAAAGTAAGTAAGATAATAATTAAAAATATATATTAAAAATGCTTAAGATAATAATAATAATAATAGAATAATTATTATTATTTTTCCTGCCTAGATGTTTGAGGGAATAAAAAATATTTTCTTAAAGAAATAATTTCGCTTAGATGTTGGAGAATTATTATTAATAAATTTTCATAAAAAAATAAAAAATATATAAAAAAAATTTTAATTAGTTTTCAAAAATCATAAAAATCAAACTTGCTTCGAAAATCTGCCTAGATGTTGATGATTTTTAGAGATGTTCGTATTTTCTTAGAAACGAAACTTTAAACACTAATTCTTAATTTTCAAAATCCTGGGTTTCTAAAACCCTTAAAATCCAAAATCCCCTAAGATCCAAAATCCTAAAATTTGAAACCCCTAAGATCCAAAATCCCTTAAATCCAAACTTCTAAAATCCAAAATCCTAAAATGCGAAACCCCTAAAATCCAAAACCTCATAAAATCCGAAATCTCAAACCTTTAAACTCTTAAATCCAAACCCCTAAAACCCAAACCCTTAAATTAAAACCACAAACCTCAAATTTTAAATCCGAAACCCTTAAAATCAGAATCTTCAAAATCTTGAAACCCTAATATTTAAAACCTTTACTCAAGCCCTTATTCAAAACATTCTAAAAATTCTAAGGACACGTGTGAGAATCTTATTTGGAATGATTTGTTCCCGAATGCTGCCTAGATGATGAGGTATTTAGAAAACTTTATTTCATTAAGTTTTTCATATAAGTTCTTAATTCGTATTAATAATAAGATTAATAAATAAAAAGTATAATAATAAATTGAGATCTTAAATATAAACAGTCGCAACTAAGCTCTGCTTAGATGTTGAAGAGTCGGGGTGATCTCATTATACTTAAAAATCTAATTTTTAAATTGCATTTCATTTTACATGACATTCATTAGCACACATATGTTAGCATGTTATCATCGATAATTATCTGCATTACTCTCTCTTTAATTTTTATTTACTATTTAATGATAAAATATTTTATAATAAAAAAAATAATACATTAAAAAATGTGATATTATAAAATAAAATGAAAATAACATTCCGAAAGAAATAATTCTTGTTACTCTGCCTAGATGTTAGAGAATCACTAACAATTATCTTCTATAAAGATTGTTATTTTATTTTAAGGATTATCGTGTTAAATCTTAAGCGAAAAGAGTTATTTTAAATTCTATCTAGATGTTGGAGAATTTTAAAATAATTCTTTAGCTTCAAGATTTTCTCGATATCCCTAAATAAAGAGCTTTGGCAAAATTTTATTTTTTCAAATGAAGAGAATTAGTATTAAATTTCAAGTCAAAATTATTTTTATCCAACGCCGAAAATAGCACATAATTAAATGATACCAATTTATGGGCGTTGTGGGGGTACTAATCCTTCTCCATATGTAACCGACTCCGAACCCAATCTATTTTTTTTCGTAGATCAAAATTTATCTTTTTGATAAACTTTAAACCCGTTTTTATAGTTTTATTAAAAAGATAAACTTTTGGGTGACCAATCACATCCTAAAAAAGATTGGTGGCGACTCCCCTTTTATTTCTCTCAATTTTAAAACTTTTTACGTCTGACGGTCCCAAAATCGTTACGACAACTGATAGTAAGATTACATCATTACCACTTAAACATAATTTGAAGTTTTCTCTTTCTAATGGTACACCACTTTCAGACCTTTTTTTGTATTAAACTCTGTTGGGTAGTCTTGTATATTTGACAATTACTCACCCATATATTTCTTATGATGTTCATTTGGTTAGTCAATTTCTATCTACTTCTTGATCTACTCATTTTGTTGCTGTCCATCGGATCCTATAATATGTTAAGGGCACTATGTTTATGGTTTACATTTTTTTTCTAGTTTCTATTTGGACTTGCGTTGTTATTGTGATGTTGATTAGGTAATAGATCCTATTGATCGTCATTCTACCACAGGGTATTGTTTCTTTCTTGATTCTTCTCTTATTTCTTGGCGATGTAAAAAATAAATTGCGATGTCTCGCTCTAGCACTGAAGTTGAGTATCAAGCTTTTGCAGATACCATATAAGAACTTCTATGGTTACAATAGCTACTTTAAGATATAAGTATATCTCATCACTTTAGTACTCTTATATTTTGTGATAATCAAAGTGCCATTCAAATAGTTCACAACGATATTTTTCATAAGCATACTAAACATATTGAAATCAATTGTCACTTCATTCGTAACCATCTGCTTGCACAAACTCTTCGATTTGTTCCTGTTACCAATGCTGATCAAAAAGTAAATATTTTCATCAAATCACATCCACTTAGTCAATTTTTTATCCAAGTTTTCAAACTCAAGTTGACCTCTACATTATCATCTTGAGTTTGCGGGATGGTGTCAATGATATTTTAATAGTATTTTAGTAATATTCTGATTAATGATATTATTCTAGTAATATTCTAATAATATTTTAGATTGCTTTGTTATTGATTTAAAGAATATTAGATTTTAATTAGGTGATTATAGGAATCAATTTAATCATTATTTCTATTTATTATATTTTTTATTTTATAATATTTTACTTCTGTATAAATAGGCTTTAAACCTCATTGCAAAACATAAATCATTATAATAAAATTTTCATCATTTTTTTCTTTTTCATGCTTTACTTATTTAATTAAACTAATATACATCTTCATTTTCTCTATTTAATTCACTGTTTGATTTTTCTTTAATTATTATTTGGCTTCGCCTCTAACCATTACCTTTTGATTCAAAGTGGATTAATCAATAACATTAGCGAGAAATTAAAATCTAAACCTTAATGCAAATAAAAATGTTTGTATAGAGTACTAATAATAATGCTTTCTAAACCTTTACTTTATTGTCTATATAAATCTTTACTAGATTTTGTTAGTATCTATCTAGCAATTTAAAAATCAATGCCCCATGATTACTATACTTACAAAATTTTGTTAGCACAATTTGAAATCTAATAACATGCAAATCCTACTTTGAAATTTCAAAATTTGACCATAGGTGCTGATATCAACATGAGATTAAAAATTATATTATTATAAATATGATTATTTAATCTAAATTCTTTTCATTATCTTTCAATATTTTTTATTTATTATTTGCAATTAACACTTGATAAAGAGGTATTATTATACTTGTTGAATTATAAAAACGATTTGAATTTAAGATTTAGTTTCATTAATTAATATAATTATTTTTCAAAAATAATATTTAATAAATTTAATATTTAATATTTATGATATTTTAAACCGTGAATTTTTTATAAAAAAAATAAAAATTTTAAGACGGCAAATATTTAGGTATTTTAAAATTAAAATCAGATACTCCATCTTAATAATAAGAGACTGAAATAAACAGTTGGTGGACACTTTGGATCTGATCATCTGAGGGGCATAACAGTAATTTAAGGATCCCGTACGGTTCCAAGACACGATGCGCACGTAGAAGTAAAGTAACGAATGTGCTTATGTTTCAAAAGGTTAATTTAGTAAATCCAACCAACCTCCTCCCACCACCGTTTTTATCTAGTAAGTCACGTTCTCTGGTCTACTCTCAAACCCAAAAAACCTCTCCAAATAAAGGAAAAAAAAACCTCTCATTCATTGCTTACACTCTCTCTGGTAACTTGCAGTTTCAACGCTTGGAAAAAGAAAACTTTTTTCTACCTTTCACAACATTTTCTTAGCAACCAAACATAGGACAAGCAAAGAAAAAAGAGTTCAGGTGGAGAAGTGGGCATGTTAAAAGATTGAAATCTTTTTGAGGTTTTTGGAATTGAGTTTTTGAAGAAATGGCTAGTGGTGGTGGAAATTATAGGAATGGGAGCCATAGGAACTCTCTCAAAGGAACAACAACAGCAACTGATAGGGCACTCTTTGTGAACTCCAACCCTTCAAAGCCTGCTCTTAAAAACAAGCCTTTGTCTTCGGGTGGTGCTTCTTCTGGGCTAAGGAAGAGTAGCCCTGGGTCACTTGGAGGTGGAACCGCCAAGGATGATATTGGAGGTTAGTTTTGGGGTTTTGTTTGAGATCTTCGATGATACATTTTCTTGGTTATCTTATTTGTTTTCTTTTTGTCGTAAAGGTTGTTTCTTGTTGATTTTTTTCTGTTTTTGGAGTGTCGGATAGTCTGAATTTCCACTTACGGCTGATGGGTAGCTTTTTGCAATTGTCGATGATTATAGCATGCATTGTGTGATTTTGCGTTTTATGAGTCGTTTTATGTGTGTTTTTGGGGGGGTAAATGTGTGATTATCTTAGCTTCGAGCAGGGATAGAAGAGAATTTCTTAAGTTTTTTCCAGTTAAAGCAATTTGATAATTTATGCGATCTAAAATCTTGTTAAATAGCATTTCAAAAAAAAAATTCTTGTTAAATAGTAATCACATTTATTCATGGCTGGATAAGTTTTAAAGTATTCCAGGATCGAACTGTGTTGGTTCTGCGTCTCAAATTAGATATGAATTGGAAATAAACAGTATTTCGGGCATTTAAATGCGGCATCGGATTATATATTGATGGACTCATTTTGGTAACAAAAGAAAACCTCCTAAATTTTGTTTTTCGTGGAATGGTAGACTACAGTTAGTTTATATGGTACTCCAACATTGCAAAGATATGCCTTTAAGGAGAATGCTCCACATCAGACCGCTGAACTAGATACCTTGGGGGTACAACTGAGTACTGGTTAGGGCCACTAATAAGCAGACCCCTCAAACAGTATTTAGTGTGGCTTTACTCAATATTCACTTTGAAAATCTGATTATTAATGTGTTAAAAATGTTGAAAGTTTATATAGCATTAAAATTTGTTTATCTTTTATATGTATATCTTTCAGTGCCCTTATTTAGGGCTGTCAAATGTTAGATTCTTAGGAAGTTCAGTCTTTGCTAAGAAAAAGGGATTCATCTATAGATTGTAACTCATCTAGTCTTGACATATATGATCAGTATGCCTTTTTTTTTTTTTGTTAATTAAACTTTTCTATGTTTCTGTTCAGTTTCTGGAAGAGTTCGAGTAGCTGTGAGATTGCGTCCACGTAATGCAGAAGAGTCTGTGGCAGATGCTGATTTTGCTGATTGTGTAGAACTTCAACCAGAGGTATTTTGATGCAATTTGACTGGTTAGATGTGCGGGGGTTAAAATTCCTGATAACAATTTTTTTCTTAGATGTGTTTCTCTGCTTTCTGTTATCTTTTAGATTATATTTGCCTAGATATGACATCTTGAGTGATGCATCAGTCTGAAAGTGAGTTTATTGAAATTAAAAATGAGAAAAGGAGTAAAGTTTGAGTAATTATCACTTCATTTGAATTAGTTAAGAAGCATTTAGTTTCTAACCACCTTAAAAATGACAAGGCTGGTGGTCCTTTGTTTGTGCATGTTGTAGCTGACCTAACTAGCTTTCAAATTACTTGAATTTAGCTCCCATCAAGTTTCTCACATGTTTTCCTCCTTACAAAGGTACTGATGCTTCATTTATTTCAGCTTAAAAGGTTAAAGCTTCGGAAAAACAATTGGGACACAGACACCTATGAGTTTGATGAGGTGCTCACAGAGTTTGCATCACAAAAGCGTGTGTATGAAGTTGTTGCAAAGCCAGTTGTGGAGGTTTGTCTGCATGGCATATCTACTTCTACCACCATTTGTTACAAATTCACTTGCATTGAGTTATTTTGCTTTGCAACTGCAAATGCAGTACATTTAAATATTTCATCTAGCAAAGTATATGGTTTCTATCGTGCTGGATAAAAAATATTTTCAGATGTTAATGACTGTATCTTTTTTCCCGCTATGGGCTGAAAGAACAGGCTATCATTGTGTTTCATTGCTTGTCTCTTCCCAAGTTATCAATTGTTTTTGCTCTGCTTTAAACAACTGGTGTATTTGGTCATAGCTTATAAAGGATCTGTTACCTTTTTTTTTTTTTTTTGTAAACTTGTTTTAGATGCATGGCTGATTTTGGTAAAAAGATTTTTGCATAATTTCTGTTTATAGAGTGTTTTGGATGGTTACAATGGGACAGTCATGGCTTATGGTCAGACTGGTACTGGAAAAACATATACTCTTGGACGACTTGGGGAGGAAGATACGGCTGATCGTGGAATAATGGTCCGTGCTATGGAGGATATTTTAGCAGATGTTTCATCGGAAAGTGATTCTGTTTCAGTGTCCTATTTGCAGGTTGTTGCACTTTACCACAGATCTTGGTGTTTGATTTCTGATGTTGTCATAGTTTTTATGAATTGTTCTACAACAATTAACACTAACTAACTGCTCTAACCTTATTTTCTTCTAGAAACTTTTTATCATTTTCTCCAAAGCTATAAACATGTTAATATGCCTAATAGTTTTGTTCATTGAAAATTTGTGCAGCTTTACATGGAGAGCTTACAGGATCTTCTTGATCCTACTAATGACAACATTTCCATCGTGGAAGACCCTAAATCTGGAGATGTTTCACTACCTGGGGCTACCCTAGTAGAAATAAGAGATCAGCAGAGTTTCTTGGAATTACTACGGTTAGGAGAAGCTCACCGCTATGCTGCAAATACAAAACTGAACACTGAATCTTCTCGTAGTCATGCTATTTTGATGGTGAATCAATTGAATTAAGTTATCCTTGTACTAATTGATTCACTGGCTTCCTGATTGATTCACATTTATCTTATCATGCAATTAATTTATCTCTTTCTGCTTTAGGTACATGTGAAGAGGTCTGTCAAAGGAAGAGAACCTGCTCATTCAAGTGAAAATGGTAACAGTACTAACATGGGTAAATCTCTTAGGCCTCCACTTATTCGAAAAGGCAAGTTAGTTGTTGTAGATCTTGCTGGTTCAGAGCGAATTGATAAGTCAGGTAATGAAATTGGAAGCGCAAAGCTTTCTCCTCTCAGTTTTAACTGTTTAATTAATGATGGTCCGACTGTCCACCTTTTCACTTGTGAAAATCATCTTCCTGTTGTTTTTCCTGCTAGTTGAACTTTGTTTCTTTGCTGTTACGTTGCAGGGAGTGAAGGCCACACGCTTGAGGAAGCCAAGTCTATCAATCTTTCTCTGAGTGCATTAGGGAAGTGCATTAATGCACTGGCAGAGAATAGTGCTCATGTTCCAGTTCGTGATTCAAAGCTTACTAGGTTACTTCGAGATTCATTTGGAGGTAAAGATGTAATAGCTTTTTTTCTTATGTGTTATTTGTTATTTTACTAAGTTCTTAATCTACATATCTCGCTAATATACTTGTAAACAAGAATGTTTGACATAGAGGTATATCTGGTAATTATATAATCTTGTTTTAAGATTATGACATTTTAAGTCCCATCTGAACATTGAAACATCAGCATCTTCCACACTGCAATTTGTTTTGCCTGACATTTTGATTCTTTAACAGGCACTGCAAGAACATCGTTGGTTATAACTATAGGTCCATCCCCACGTCATCGCGGAGAAACAGCTAGTACTATAATGTTTGGACAGAGGGTGGGTTACAAAACAACTTCCTTTTCTTTATTTTAATCAATTCATATTATTTTATGCTTTTAAGAAGCATTTCTGGACTAGTTGCTGGATTGTCAGGTATTCTGTTCTATTATTTTTCTAGTAACATATGATGGAATCAAATCTTGACCTAGAGTGTAAGTAACATTTATAATTCCATTTGATTGCTCAAATTTGCACTTTTTTTGCCCTTTATAGGCTATGAAAGTGGAGAATATGTTGAAGCTCAAGGAAGAATTCGATTACAAAAGTTTGGCTAGAAGGCTAGACATACAATTAGACAAACTGATTATGGAGCATGAGAGGAAGCAGAAAGCATTTGAAGATGAGATTGAAAGAATTACCACAGATGCGCAAAACCAAATTTCTGAGGCTGAAAGAATTTATGCAGATGCAATGGAGGTAAGGTTTTTACCAGTATAGTAGTTGAGGCCTTGAGGGTAATGTTGATTTTTTTCCTCTTTTTTGCATTTGTTGGTGTGCGTATGCACGTGTGCATGAAGTGTGTGTGTGTGTGGGGGGGGGGGGGGGGGAGAGAGAGAGAGTTGCTTTTTTCCTTAAATACATATTCTAAATTTAGCTGGAACAGCGGGGATATTTTGTCGTTGAAATTTCTGCATGGTTTCTAATAACATGAATGTACCAAATATGTAACACTGGATCTTGTAAAATAATTTGGAAAAGTTAGCTTTTCTTCTTTGTCATATATATATGTGTGTGTGTGTGTGGAGGATGGGATGTAAGAAGGGAAGTGCAAGAGGGTTTGCGTGGGGTGGAACTAAGTGAACAATTAACTGCTGCTTTTTGGTGATACATTATCTTTTAATCCAGTGCCTTAAGTTAATCTACATTGTACTTGAATGCATACTGAAATTCATATCTTCTTCTTCTTGCAGAAAGAAAGATTGAAGTATCAGAAGGACTATATGGAATCGATAAAGAAGCTTGAGGAGAAATGGATGACGAACCAGCAAAAGCTGGGTGGTGAAAGAAAGGTGGAAATATAATCTTTTGTAGAACTATCTCTCGTATTACATCATATAAGTTCCTGATCCTATGGAAAATTTAATTAAGCAGCCATATTTTCTGTCTTTTGCTTTATTCCCTTTGTTACTCTTTTCTCTAGTTTTTGCCACTTATAGCTAATTTGAAACTTGCCTATCATGTCTGCCATTTTTTGTCTGACACAGGAGCAGATGATATCCACTGAGGAAATTGGTGAGGTAAAAAAGTTACTTAGCAAAGAAACTTCACTAAGGAAAGCTGCTGAAGAGGAAGTCAGTAACCTTAGAAGTCAACTAGCTCAATTGAAAATGTCAGAGGTATATTTTTGGTATCTCTCTGTATTTTACTTCATCCTTAGCTCTGCTTTTCTGCTACTTCTTTGTCATATAGACTGCTGTCCCATACTGCCATACTTCTATGTATAGGCATCAGCAAATTCTGAGATCTTGAAACTGCGAAAGATGTTGGAAGATGAGGCATGTCAAAAGGAGAAACTTGAAGGGGAAATATCAATGCTGCAAAGTCAGTTATTGCAACTAAGTGTTGAAGCTGATGAGGTATGTTATCAACTGAATCTACAAATTCGATAGTTGTGCATAGTCAATTCATTTATTGTTACTGATCCTGTAACGCAGTACTTCCAAAACTTCTTCCCTTTAGCTTGATCATTTCTCATCCTTCATTTGCTGATTAAGTATTCCTCTCATGCATGAGGAAATTTTATACATAAAGTAGATGGTAAATCTTAAAATTTTCAAACTTTGTCTATGTCATTGTAATTATAATGCAAATTAAATATTTCTCTGGAGCTTATGAAATTAAATGGCCTTCTAACGACCTTATTTAAAGAACTGAAAATTATCTATTAGTAGGTGAGGCTTGTAGTTTAAGGATACGCATATGTTTGCCACCTGAGTGACAATTGCTTTAATTGTACATCTCAAATTTTAACCAGACATGCATTTTTGTTATAGACTAGAAGAAGGCTTGACAGAGGCGTGCCTGCAAAAGTCCCTGGTGCTCTAGATTCTCTCATTTCTCAAATTAGACCACAGGTAAAGGATTCAGGAAATGGAGAGAAGGCCTCAATAGCAAAACTCTTTGAGCAAGGTAGTGGTAATTCCTTAGCTGATATTAACAAAATTAATAAACAATAATCTATTTGTATTTAATCTTTTTCTTTTCTCTTATAGTGGGATTGCAAAAGATCTTGTCATTGCTTGAAGCAGAAGATGCTGATGTGCGGATTCATGCTGTGAAAGTGGTCGCAAATTTAGCTGCTGAGGGTATCTTTTCTGCCTGTCTGTTCTTCATCTACCTTTTTTGGTAGCATTGACATACTTTTCTCTAAATTTGACATGATTAAAATGGAGCACTGCTATTTTTAAGTAGTTGCACGTCTTCTGTTTTTTCTCATCTTTGGTTTCAAATTAATACTTGTGAATCTTGTAGGAAGCAATTTTAGGACTGAAACTGTTAATTCTAGATTATTGAGGTTTTTCACATGGATGTATTTGCTATTTCCTCCATCTCTTCTATCCATATAATAATTACTTTGATAGTGCTGTTTCTTACTAGAGCTGTCAATGACAGTGTAAACTTCACCTCCATTATGCAGAAACAAATCAGCTGAAGATTGTAGAAGCTGGAGGTCTAACGTCCTTGCTGATGCTGCTTGGAAGCTCTGAGGATGAGACAATACATAGAGTTGCTGCTGGTGCAATTGCCAATCTTGCGATGAATGGTAAAATTTAGCTCCCCTTCTTCATCATTTTTATACTAGCACGCAAAGTGACACTACTTTCTATTAAGTCTTTTTGCTTTCAATTGCTCTTCCTTTTAAATATTTCCTTTTATTTTGTCAGAAACCAACCAGGAACTCATAATGTCTCAAGGGGGCATTAGCTTGTTATCAACAACAGCAGCTAATGCTGAGGATCCTCAAACACTTAGAATGGTTGCTGGGGCCATCGCCAATCTCTGTGGCAATGGTAAATTGTTGACGTCTTGATTTTTATCTGCAGCAATCATCTTATTTGCTTGCACAGTAAAGTTCATGAGAATTTTGTGCATGTTTTCTCAATAAGTATAAATTTCCTTAACTTCAATAAGTAATGTGCTTATGCAAACTTCAACAAGTAATGTGCTTATGCAAACAGAGACTTAAAACTTCTAATAGTTAAAACTCGAAAATATTAAGCCTTTTCTGCGTGTCCCATCTGAGGTTGTTCCCAAGGAGCTCTTTACTATGCATGTGCTTTTTTTTTTTTTTTTTGAGTCAAATGTATTTTGAAAGAACTTAGACTGGCGTAGTCCTATCAATAACTTTCTTAAAGGTTCATTAAGTTGATCAGTTTGTTTATCTCTTCCATTGAGTACTTCTCCATTACATCTCCAGATAAGCTGCAGAATAAGCTAAGAGGTGAAGGTGGTATCAAGGCTTTGCTAGGAATGGTCAAATGTGGACATCCGGATGTTCTTGCACAAGTTGCTCGTGGAATAGCAAACTTTGCTAAATGCGAGTCAAGAGCATCAACTCAAGGTACATTTCTTGGAGGATGACTTCTTGAAGTCTTTTGACCTCATAGCTTGCCACGCGGCATCTTTTAACTTGTTGATGCCTTGCTAACAAAGTTTACAGTGGGTGTTCAGAAACATATGTATGATTTCTTTGTCTTCTTGGGTATTTTGGTTCTCAAATGGTACAGGAAGTAAAGCTGGAAGGTCTCTTCTGATTGAGGATGGAGCACTTCCATGGATTGTACAGAATGCTAACAATGATGCCTCGCCAATTAGGCGCCATGTTGAGCTTGCACTCTGCCACTTAGCACAACATGGTAAGTTTGTTTTCTCTTTGGAAATTTTGGAGAGGTTTCTCTCTTTGACAATCTTTCTAATGAGACTCCAATGCACTACATTGCAGAAGTGAATGCCAAAGACATGATAAGCGGAGGTGCCTTGTGGGAACTGGTCCGCATCTCGCAAGACTGTTCTCGGGAAGACATAAGAACTCTTGCACATCGGACACTTACTTCTAGCCCCACCTTCTTAGCTGAATTGAGGCGGCTACGAATAGAATATTAAACACACTCTGGAAAACTTTATTAAAGTGAACTTGAAAGTGCAGAAACCGTGTCAGCTTAAACTAATTCAAACTAGAGGATTGATACTCCCCACATTTGAAACAAGGTGTGCTTCCAGCTGTGCTCCTGTTGAAGTTTTGCCATGAAACAGAGTGCGCTTGGCTTCGTAGTCAAGATATGTTGTTGATTACACAAGGAACCTCTGATTTATTAATCAAATTGTTGTCTTGTAATCTCATCTGAGACCTGCCTGTGTAGTCTGCTAATTGTAGTAAACAAATGATTTGTATATGAAATGGGTATTAGAGTAACTAACATCCAGTTATTGTATATATAAGTAAGTTCATATCATTTATTCTGTAACGATTGATTTGCTTTGGAAAATCTGAAGCCCTGAAAGTAAGTAAAAACCCCACTATGTGTTAGTGCACTTTGGTGCTGGCAAATTCCAGGCTGTAGTTGCTGTGTAAACAGTTTCTTTTTTTTCTGTTTTTTTTAATTGTTTAAAAAAAACAACAGAATTTTTTTTTCTTTCAAAGTATACATTGCGAATGGAAAATTCTGAAAAAAAATGAAAATATAAGGCATGCAAAATAACTCATGATTGATTTATTTGTATTTTCTATTTGGTACCAATAGTAATTTTCCGTATATTATATCTCATACTAATTTTAATTAATTAAGAAGATTTTAGTTATGAGCTTGACATTGATCTTCTAGATTAATTAAAATTAACCTAGGTAAAGAACCCACGTTTTAACTGTCAAATCATGAGTCAATAACTTAAAAGGATAGATCAGCAAAAGAAAGTGGAAGGGGAGTGGGGTGACAGAAAGGAAAAGCTGAAGATGTTCAAGAATTCAGTGAAAGAAGAATGAATGTATAAGTAAAATAAGCTCAGCTGTTTGGAACAACAAAAAAAAAAAAAAAAAAGGGAGAACAGCCAGCTGTGAGTTTTAAGATGGAGACCAGTGGTAATGCAAAGAATCTGAAGTGGATTTTGGCTTGAATCTTGAACAGCCGCAAAATACCCAGTTCTCTGAATCCAAAATAGACGGATAGGGAGAGACAGACAGATAGAGGCTAAATTTAAAGCCCACGTTGTCTTGGTCGTTGCCTTTTTGTGCCAGTGTTTTGTAGTATTGCCTCGAAAAGGAGCTTGTTCAGAGCAGTGCACGTGTAAACCTGTTAAAAAATTTAAGAAAACAAAAATAATAAAAAAAAATGATTTTAAGATATGAAGAATATTATTTTAAAGATAATTATATATATAAGATATATTAAAATTTTAAAATTTTTTAAATAAAAAATAATGAAATTGATCAGACAAAAAAATTTATTTATAATAAATAAATAATTATCAATAAAGTTAATTCAAAAAATTATGATATTTTATATAATTATATTTTTTTGTTTAAATAAATTTTATTTAAATAATCATATTTTTTTTTCAGATATGTATATTCATATCATCATATTTTTCTCTATTTAAATATGTTTATTCAAAATCAGTAATATTTTGAAATAAAAAAATAATAATAAAAAAAATTTAAAAATTAAATCTATTTGTTAAATAAACTAAGTGTCTAAATACTCATCTTTGACTTTTAAAATTATTTGACTCACTAAAAAACCTCCTAACAAACCCAAATGATTTGGTTTTCTCCAACACTTAGCTTAATTACTTAAATAACATAAATAATTTTTTTTAAACTACATATAAATAATTTTTTAGTTAATGTAAGATACACCATATTATAAACTACCAATAAAATCAGTACCCGTATATTTTCATGTCTCTCGTATCTTTAAAAGAAAAACCCTAACTAAAGACCCTGTCAAGAAACAAATGTTTGGAAACTATAATGCCCATACCTCTTTGCCTACTTCTCATAAATATTTTGCCACCCCCTGAAATGAAATCGTCTCTATATCCAGGTTTAATTCAACCCCTGATCTCCTTTGACCTTGTCTGCTTCTTTACATAAACAACAAAAAATAATGAAATAATTTAATTCAAATAATTTGTATATATTAGTGTTAAGAACATTTGGTGATCAAAAAAGTCTAGTGAATTTTTTTATGTTATAAGCTTTTAGCAATCAATCAGAGATAATTCTATCATCTATGCCAATATGTCAATCTAAAATGTTAGGTCAATCTAACATGTTTGATGTCATATTAACTCAACCCTATACTTATTATCTTCTAATGGTCCTCATTGCTTATTTATAAATATGAAAGTCTAGACACCGTTAAGATACTAGACTAGTCTTATTTCTCCTTATTATTGTCTTTTTAATCTCGTTTGTTTTGACTTGCACATTTTAACCGTCCTTCTCTTCTGTCTTTCCAAGATTTGACCCTAAGATTGAAGCTCCACACAAATAATTAGGAAGAATATATATTGAATTAAAGAGTTGCATCGCGTGGTAAAGCACACAACAACATGAAATGGCTAATAGCAGTTTGTTTCAATGGCTACTATTATGAGAGAGTTTGCTGGAGCTGCAACAAGAAAAATATAGTGAAAAGAAGTTCTGCAAGTCCTAAGTTATTTTAGCAGCCGTCCCTATCTTCTTGTTGTTCATCTTCTTCTTCCATTGAAACATACTGGAGACACTTATTCTCATAAAATCAAATGCACCGAGAGTCCATGAATTTACAGTCATTGTCAATCAACATGCTGGCATATGACCTACTCATTAAATTCAATTAAAAAATAAGGAAAAATAAAAACTAATTAACAGTAAAACAAAACAAAACTTGAAATGCTAGCTACAAATTAAGTTTTTGTCCTCTTTGCTATAGCTGAAGCTGAAGCTGAAACTGAATTAACCAAACAAAGGTATCATTCAGTACTGGAAACTGTTAGCTAGAATGGAGGGCGACCAGTGGCCCAAAATGCCTCATTTGGTAATTGAATAGAACTGAGAAGATTAGGTGGTAGTCCATGAAAAAGAGGCGCATTTGACTCAGCCAATACTTCTTGTTGCTGCTGCTGCTGTTGCCCTCCAGCTGTACCCGGTGACCCAATTGCACCCCCTTGCATTGGAAGCTGTGGCTCTTCTTCTTCCAATGGAAGCCGCTCATATGCGGCGTTACTAAAAGAAGCTGCCATAATCACAACCGGGCCTGAACAAGTAAGTGTCCCAACAACACTGCCACCTACCACCTGGCCTTGCCCACCAGCCAAATATATGGTTAACCCCGTAGCTGCAGGCGGTGCTGGTGGAGGGAAAAATGATCCTGCAAATGATAATATCTCAAATCGGCCATGTAAAGTCACAATTGCACCAGCCGAGGCTGGTTGCCTAAGGGTTACATTGGTAACGTTCCCAGTTCCACTCATTATGCAAACGCCTCTCTGGCGTCTTCTAGCAAATGTTGCGACGCTTTCAACAATGTCACATCCATCTCCTATTTCCATGACATGAGTGAGTAAAGCGTTGGCACTGTCTCGGGTGATGATGATTGGTGGCTTAGGTTTGTTCTTGGATCCAGCAGGCCTGCCTCGTGGTCTTCTACTGATCTCTCCTTCACCACAGCCCGGAATGCCAAGTTCTTTGCCTTCATTATTGGGGCTGCTGCAGTTGATGTTGTTGCTTTCGTCGTGATCCCGTTTCTGTAGGCCACTGCTGCTGCCACTTTGTTCATCTTCTGAATTTTGGTGATGGAATTGATGTTCTTGATGTTGCTGCTGCTGCGGATGAAGATTGAAATCTCTTATATGAAATGGAGGAGGAAGAAAAAGACCATGTGATGTAACTGGATCCATTGCTTTTCCTATAAGAGATTGAAATCTCTTATCTTTTCTTTGTTTCTTCCCTTGTTTTACGATCTCGAAGCTCTCACTTCCTCACATACAAACAGGAACCCCAGCCCAAAGCAGTGATTAAACACCAAAGAAATATTGAAAGCACGCACAAAGGAGTAAAGCTTGTAAAAGAATTAAAGGAAGATAGTGGAAGCAAAAGAGGTTAAAAGATCATACATATAATAACAAGACTGCTGGGACGACTCTTTCTTTTCCTTGCTTTCTGGCTTTCTTTCTTTTAACTTGTTTAATGAACTAGTAAGCACATCACCATCCCTAAACCAGAACCCCATAAACTGACTTGATTTTTTATTTCACAATAAGAACTTTGATCAGCTGAATTCACCATCTATACAGAAGAGCAGGGGACAAAGGGAAGAGAGAAAGAGGATGGGATTTGGTGGGTTTTCTCTGATATAGCTAAGGTGTAAAAAACTGAAATAGGATGGAGCTGGGGACAAAGGGAAAAGAGAAAGAGGATGGGATTTGGTGGGTTTTCTCTGATATAGCTAAGGTGTTAAAAACTGAAAGAGGATGGGGATAGGGGGTTTAGGGTTAGATATTGAGAGAAAAATAGAGAGGAGGATTAGGTTTGGCTTTGGCTTTGGCATAGTCTGCGTGCTTATGGGCGGTGGATGAGGTCCCACTTCTCTTCTTTCTCTCTTAATTTGTCTCCTTCAACATGGTCTCTCTTAATTTCTATGATAAATTCGCTAATTCAACGTAAATAAATTTGTTTGAATTGAAAAGACGACATGCCAATTAGCCATCCAAGTCCTTATCTATAAACAAATTCGACCTCTTTTTCAACTCATGAATTGATCTAAATCCTCTTCTCCTTTTCCTCCAAGTTTCAAAGCTTCAAGCTTATCCAAGTTTTTGGCTTATGCTTTGGTATAAAACATGAGTTTGTCAGATATAAATTCTGTTTAGATGTAGAATTGTAGTAGGCTGAACCTGAATATCGCATGTTTTAGTGAAATATATATACATATTAATGTGTGCGCAAATTATAAGCAATGTTTAATAAAATTGTATACAAAAGGTGAATTCCTCGTTCTGTGAACTCAGACTGATGATGCTTAGGGCCATCCCTCTATAGCTGGAGTTTATTTAATTTTATCTCAAACGTTTGAAGATCATGTAGAACAACTCATGAACAACACAAAAACATTTATAGATTAAAAAATAATCCATTAATGCTAAAATATATATATCACAAATAAGTTTGGTTTGTTAAAAAAAAAGAATTATCAAGGGTATGTAAATTAATTTGTCTACTGTAATTTCTAACTTCTTATGGTTTATCTCCTTATTTAATCAAATTATTTGAATCAAATATGTTATATTCTTTTGCACACATATAATTTTGGATTATATAAGCCTTAATGATGGTAAAATATAATCGTTTCATTTTTCATAAATCAATCTTTTTACTCTCGCTTTAAGAAAGAAAATTAATATTTTTTAAATTTTGAATCTTAATTTTAACTGTTGAATATAAGTTAAAAAAACAAAAAAAAAAAAAAAACTTTAATCAAATTTCGTCACAATTCAACAACATGAGCTAATAAGCTAGGTTGGAATTTTTTTTCTCTTGTTTTTCTTAGAACAAACGTTCAAAACTCT